ATTCTAGAACAATAGTCATGTGATGAGTCATGTGATAGTGTTGAATTATTCCTATGTACTTTTTATGTTATATAATGATAGATTATCACAGGTAGCAACATATGTAGCTGTAAATCGACTGTGGAATTTTCAAAATGGCCGCCGTTACCATGGAAACTGCAAAAATGTGAATTTTTTTAAAATGCTTCAAATTTAATGAAATTTTACAGAGATGTTAACGAGTGTATGTAGATTTGGAATTTGACTTTGGAATTTCCAAAATGGCCGCCATTGCCATGGAAACAACAAAAATGCGAAAAATCTAGATTTGGTCCAATCTTTATGAAACTTGACAGTAATGTGACCTGTCATGTGTAGATGTGCAATCCAACTTTGGAATTTTCAAAATGGCTGCCGTTACCATGGAAACTGCAAAAATGTCAAAAAATTCAAAATGCTTCAAACTTAATGAAACTTCACACAAATGTTGACTGTCTTATGTAGATGTGGAATTTGACTTTGGAATTTCCTAAATGGCCACCGTAACCATGGAAACACGAATGCCTAAATTTGAAAATTGGTCCAATTTTTATGAAACTTGTAAGTAATGTGACCTGTCATGTGTAGATGTGCTATCCGACTATGAAATTTCAAAACGGCTGCCGTAACCATGGAAACAGCAGAACAATGGTTGGGGGCCGTTTTGGCGACTTTTGTGTTAGCATCCTAACACAGGATTACTTGTTATTATTATTTTTCTTCCACTATTTTTGTCTGGAGCAGTTCTTGGAATTGAATGGGCCAAAGTTGATGGAACTATGCTATACTGTTGACCACCATGTGAAGTTGTCCCTCTGAGTTTGGAATTTCCAAAATGGCCGCTGCTGCCATGGAAACAGCAAAAAAGTCCAAAATTTCAAAATGCTCCAAACTTAATGAAACTTTACAATAATGTTAATTGGTATGTGTAGATGCCCTCTTTGACTTTGGAATTTTCAAAATGGCTGCCGTTACCCTGGCAATGGGGGAACAAGGGTGCCATCCGTTATTGCTCGCAATTACAAATCTAGTTTCTTATTTTTATTCTTCCACATATTTTGTCCACGGTAGTTCTCGAAATTGAATGGACCAATGTTGATGGAACTATACCATAATGTGAACCACTATGTGAAGTTGTGCAAGAGACATTGGAATGGTTCAAAATGGCGACTGTTACCATGGAAACCGCAAAAATGCCCAAAAATTCAAAATGCACCAAAGTAAATGAAACTTTACACATGTATTAATTAGTATATCCAATGTTGGATTTGACTTTGGAATTTTGGAAATGGCCACTGATGTGGTATTTGGCTACTGTGACCGTGGCAATTGGAAGGGGTGCCATCTGCTATTGCTGGCAATGGCAAATCTAGTTATCTTTGTTGTCTCTTCCTGTGGTCACAATTTTTGAAATTTCGTGTTTTTAGAGGGTACTCCAAATATTGTATTGTACAGGATATCTTTAACACGAAAAATTAATTTATTGTGTTCTTTTTTGATGATTGAAATAGTACTTAGAATATAGTTTATATATAAAATATATATCATATAATGAAAGCACAAAATATCTAAGTAATTTTAGTATTTCACCATTTTAATTAGTACAACTAAAATTTTACCAAAAAACTACATAGATATTTTCTGCTTTCGTTACATGATATTTAATATATAAACTATATTCTAAGTACTATTTGTTATAAATCATATACTAGGAGGCACAACTGCAGAAATATTTCAAAGCTGAATAGGCAAAACCACTCGAACTATTAACCAGAGACCTAATGAAGTTTGAAGTAGTAACTATAGATCAAAGCTCTGCCTACAACAAGAGTGGACACGCTGAAATGTCTCACCTTCTTTACTAACCATTGATATTATGTTGATAGTCCTAAATGAAAGCTTTACTACAACTTTTACATAAACTTAACATGATCCAAGAAAATGAAGTCAAGGTCATATAAACCAAACGAGAAATACATGTACACCTTACAATCATTCAATACACTAAATATAGTTGACCTATTGCTTATAGTTTCTAAGAAACAGACTTAACCAAGAAAACTAAACATTGACCAATGAATCGTGAAAATGAGGTCAAAGTCAGATGAATCATGCCAGGCAGACATGAACAGCTTACAATCCTTCCATACAACAAATATAGCTGACCTATTGCTTATAGTTTAAGAAAAACAGACTGAAACACATAAACTTAACACTGAGCAATGAACCGTGAAAATGAGGTCAAGGTCAAATAAAATCTGTGAGACTGACATGTACATCAAAGAATATTTCCATACACCAAATATAGTTGACTTATTGCATATAGTATAAGAAAAAAGACCAAAACTCAAAAACTTAACTTTGACCACTGAACCATGAAAATGAGGTCAAAGTCAGATGACACCTACCAGTTGGACATGTACACCTTGCAATCATTCCATACACCAAATATAGTAGACCTATTGCATAAAGTATAAGAAAAACGGACCAAAACACAAAAACTTAACTATAACCACTGAACCATGAAAATGAGGTCAAGGTCAGATGACACCTGCCAGCTAGACATGTACACCTTACAATCATTCCATACACCAAATATAGTAGACCTATTGCATACAGTATAAGAAAAACAGACCAAAACACAAAAACTTAACTATAACCACTGAACCATGAAAATGAGGTCAAGGTCAGATGACACCTGCCAGTTGGACATGTACACCTTACAGTCCTTCCATACACCGAATATACTAGACCTATTGCTTATAGTATCTGAGATATGGACTTGACCACCAAAACTTAACCTTGTTCACTGATCCATGAAATGAGGTCGAGGTCAAGTGAAAACTGTCTGACAGGCATGAGGACCTTGCAAGGTACGCACATACTAAATATAGTTATCCTATTACTTATAATAAGAGAGAACTTAACATTACAAAAAATCTGAACTTTTTTTTCAAGTAGTCACTGAACCATGAAAATGAGGTCAAGGACATTGGACATGTGACTGACAGAAAGTTCGTAACATGAGGCATCCATATACAAAGTATGAAGCAACCAGGTCTTCCACCTTCTAAAATATAAAGCTTTTAAGAAGTTAGCTAACGCGGCTGCCGCCGGATCACTATCCCTATGTCGAGCTTTCTGCGACAAAAGTCGCAGGCTCTACAAAAACCATACCATATAGTCAGCTATAAAAGGCCCTGACATTACAAAGTGTGAAACAATTCAAATGAAAAAAAGTAAATACATTTATTCTCTTTACGCATATATGTAGAGGCGACAAGCCATCTTACTGTGACTGGGTTTTCCTGAAATTTGCGTTGACCTTTTGCCCCAATTTATTTTTAAATGTAACTACTAAAACATTGATATTGGATAAGGCTTCTGAGTCCTCCTCTTTCCAATGATATAAAATACAGCAGTGTGATATTCCATTAACCCAAATTGATCAAATTCATGGACTGGGCACCCTATTAAATGGTATGAGTTGTTTTCGCAACCTTGCTTATTATAAGTGTCCAAAATTTGCAGAAAAAAAATCCCTCACATCAGCAAGTCGAAAATGTTGTTCACTTTAGCACGCAAACTCCACTTCTATCATCAATAAATTCATAAATGACAGTAATTATTAAATAGTTTTGATGTAGGGCGGAATAGCTGCACAATGATGTTGCATTACAAATACACTGTAACATAATTTAGTGCCAAACAAGCATTCTGAGAGTAATGCATGGCAGTACATAGCCCCCTTACAGTTAAAAAAATCATTGTACATGTACTGGAACAAAATGCTAATTAAATCTGTAATTTGTTATATTTTCTATATTAAAAAAAAACTAAGTCCAAATGTCTCCTGGCCATGGTCAAATATTGAACACTAAATCTGTTTATATCATAATGTCATGAATGTGAAAAGTTCACTAAAGGAGTTGTACCAAAAAGATTAATAGACAGATAGACAGACAGTGTGATTTCTATTGTTGTTAAAAGTTTAGCATGCAAACATTACAACAGAGAATTGACAAAAAAATGCTGGAAATTGATTACTTGCCTGTAGTTTCTAAGTCCAAGGACCATAACTCTGCAAAACAATCATCTGAGTGGAACAAAATTTGAACCTGATCTATTACTTTTCATGGTTAATAAACATATGACGAATAAAATTTGTAAGGGGTTCTGCAGAACCCTGTGTCTCACCCGTGATTGCTGCCGTCAATGTAAAAGTGTAATGTTGACTTAAAAAGTGAGTTCATTATATCAGTAAAATACAGAATTTATAAAAAAATTTGAACTTTTTCTTTAGATGCTATTTCATGGTCTTGAAAATTAGCTTCTGTCCAAGTTTCATAACAATCCATAATGGTTTACAAATTTATCATGTCAAAAACATTTAATCCAAGACTGTCTGTAAATGTTAACTGTAAACAAGAGATTCTCAAGAGACTGAATCATTCACCTGTTATTTTTTTGCTTAAATCTTACATCAATGATTATTTTTGCTTTTCAATATATATTAATGACATGAATGAGTGGCTTGAAAATGCCATTTAAATGTTCTTTGTATCGGTCATATTTTCTTCAAAAGCAATTAAGTAAATGCATTTTACCCATATGTTCCATTTTAGCCATAGTGGCTTTGTTTCTTGATGTACAAGGAAATAAAATACAAAATTTATACTAGATTCATTTGAGAAGATTTTTTAAAGTTGGAAAACATAAACAAATTGTGTAAAATTGTCCTTAAAGGGCAATAACTCTTTAAGGGGTCAATTGACACTTTTGGTCATAAAAACTTTTTTGTAGATCTTACTTCACTGAACATTTTTGCTGTTTACAGTTTATCTTTAAATTAAATAATATTCAAGATAATAACCAATAAAATGCTTCGCTGAGCGCAGCCTGATACGACCGCAGAGGTCGAACCCTGAACAGTTGGTACAAATTTCTTTATTTCTTCAAACCCCTTATGATTCATCGCCCCCAAACTCAATCCCAGCCTTCCCTTTGTGGTATAGTACCTTGCAGTTCAATTTCAAAAAGATCCATACACTTACACACAAGTTATTGTCATGAAACTAGAAAAATGCTTGTTTTTTGCCCCTTCTTTTGCCCCTACTTCCTAAAATTTTGAGGCAATTACCCCCAAAATCAATCCCAGCATTCCCTTTGTGATATGGAACCTTGTGGTACAATGTCAGAGAGATCCATACACTAACACACAAGTTATGTCTGGAAGTTACAAAAATGCTTATTTTTGGCCCCTTATTCCTTAACTGTTGGTACCATAACCCCCAAAATCAATCCCAACCTTCTTTTTGTAGTATTGAACCTTATGGTAAAATTTCATAGAGATCCATTTGCTTAAACTAAAGTTAGAGTGCGAAAACCAATGTGTCTTCCGATGACGACGATGACAACAACTACACCAACGTCATACCAATATACGACTGCAAAATTTTTTTGCGGTCGTATAAAAACTGCAAAATTTCCTTAAAATTACTAATTTAGTGGCAGCAACCAACAATGGGTTGTTCGATTCATCCGAAAATTTCAGGGCTGATAGTTCTTGACCAATTGAACATTTTTACCCCGTGTCAGAATTGCTCAAAAAGCTTTAGTTTTTTTGAGATATAACCCAAAAACTGCATTTAACCCCTATGTTCTATGTTTAGCCATGGCGTCCATGTTTGTTGATGAATCAAAACTTTGGATACATTTATAAACTAGATACCCTAAAGAACATTCAGTTAAAGTTTGAAGGTATTTGGCCCAGTAGTTTCAGAGGAGAAGATTTTTGAAATAGTTTACGACGTTATACTTCTATAACGACAGACGACAAGTGATGGCATAAGCTCACATGAGGGCTGAAGGGCCGCGGTGAGCTAAAAAATAAGTCAATCTATCAGAAAAAACTGAAAATGTAAAAAAAAAAAGTCTATTTATCAGTTAAATACAGAATAAACTGCTTCACTGAGCGCAGCTGGATACGCCCGCAGAGGTCCAACCCTGAACAGTTGGGCAAAAATGGACACAATATTCAAGCTTGATACAGGTCTGAATTTGGATTGTAATTAAATATTTGACATTTTATAGGTTTCTGAATAAATGTAGTCAAAGAACTTAAAATTGGTTATATGAATTGAATTTATATTCAATTAAAGATTTCTTGCTGTTGTGCAATACACTGTGCTGTTGCGCAATGCTTAGAAAATCTGTTGTCAGACTATAAACAAATAAACTCTTATAACTCGGAAACCTTAATTCGTAAATTTATAAAAATCAAAAGGGAGAATTCAAAAATAGATATAAACAATTTACCAAAGTTTCATAAAAAATGCTGAAAGCAATTTTGAGTTATTGTCCGAAAACTGGAAAATCCCCCTTTTTGTATTGAATAAAACCCCATAAATCGGAAACGTATGGTCTAAAATTTATAAAAATCAAAAGGGAGCTCATGTCGATAGAAATAAACAATTCATCAAAGTTTCTTGCAAATTGTTGATATTGTTTTTGAGTTATTATCCGAAAACTGGAAAATCCCCCCCTTTTTTAATGAATAAAACCCCAAAACTCGGAAACAGTAAATCCAAAATTTATAAAAAATGAAAGGGAGCTCAAGTCAATAGATAAAAACAATTCACAAAAGTTTCATGCAAATTGGTAATATTGTTTTTGAGTTATTGTCCGAAAACTGGAAAATCCCCCCTTTTTTAATGAATAAAACCCCAAAACTCGGAAACGTTAAATCTGAGATTTATAAAAAACGAAAGGGATCTCATGTCAATAGATATAAACAATTCACAAGAGTTTCATGCAAATTGGTGAAATTGTTTTTGAGTTAATTGTCCGAAAACTGGAAAATGCCCCCTTTTTTAATAAATAAAACCCCAAAACTCGGAAACAGTAAATCCGAAATTTATAAAAAACGAAAGGGAGCTCACATCAATAGATATAAACAATTCACTTAAGTTTCATGCATATTGGTTAAAGTGTTTTTCAACAAGAAATGATTGTAACAGGATGCTGTTACGAAGTCTCCCAAACGAAGCTCCCATAATTCGTAATTCCCAGGGTCGCCTGACATTGGGCAACGTCCAGTGAAAATTCCATAGATTTCTATTTACTTACACTAAAGTTATTGTCTGGAAACAAAGTGTCTTCGGACGATGACGACGTTTTACCAATATACAACCGCAAAGATTGTTTGCGGTCGTGGTCGTATAAAAACTTAGACAGGTGGTCCCAAAATTCTGTACTGAAATGTGTTTTAAAACAAGACCAGATACCTTTTTTATTATACAACATCAATTCAACCACACACCCCATATTGCCATGTTATGACAAGAGACAAGATACTATTGTAGTGACTTGGAAGTTAATGCTTGTTATAATAAATCTTAAGATGCATTACTTTAATACAATTAAATATAAAATTGTTAATAAATATATGGATATATTTATATCTAAATTCTTTGTCAATAGTTATACTTATTACGACCGATCTGCTATCATCAGGGGTCCAACTGTCAATTTTATGTTATGGTCTTTAACCTTTATTTTTTAAGCATTATTATACAGTCTCCTCGACTTTTATGTTTGCTATTGGCAACTAGTAATTCTACATTGAACACTTTTTTTTGTATTTTATATATATTGGTTATATTAAGTTATTAAAACTAAAGGAATATTATCTTTTGCCTTTAATTGCTATGCTGCAATAATTATGTACGGTCAATTGATAAAGCACCAGTAATATAGTATCATCTATTTCAACGTTATCATGGTCCCTATCTAATAAATTTCAGTTTGAAATTAATTAGATTGTGTATTAATGTGTTTTGGTCACGTGTTTCTTACATTAATTGTATCTGCCGTATAGCCTCCCCTTTTATCATATATGGCAAAACGCAAAAAAAATGGTGAAAATCATAATTAAAGGGCAATAAATCCAACAAGGAGTTGTCAGACGATTTCCTCCATATTGTCTTATTTGCAGATCTTGTCTTGCTAATCATTTTTGCTTATTCAAGTTTTTTATCTATCTATTATAATTTTTAAGATATAAGGCAAAAACGCAAAAAAATGGTAAAAATCGTCATCAAAGGGCAATAACTCTAATAAGGATTCGACTGACGATTTCGACCATGCAGACTTATTTGTAGAACTTGTCTTGTTGATCAGGTTTGCATTTTAAAGTTTCTCTTTATCTATTATAGTTTTCAAGATAATAGGTAAAAATGAAAACTAGAGGCTCTAAAGAGCCTGTATCGCTCACCTTGGTCTATGTGCATACTCAACAAAGGAAACTCTTCAGCATTGAAGACCAGAATAGAATTCATGATAAAAATCTCTGTTTTGTTGATCTTGCATTGCTGATCATTTAGTCTTCTTTAGTTTTTGCTCAAAAGACAAAAGAGGGTAAAAAAAATCCTCATTTAAGGGTGATCACTCCTATAAAGAGTGACGTCTTCTAACTATATTGGCAAAATTTGACTTGTTAGTAGAGCTTGAATTGCTGATCATTTTTGTGATTTAAAGAGTCTATTTATAGAGTCTTCTAACTATATTGGCAAAATTTGACTTGTTAGTAGAGCTTGAATTGCTGATCATTTTTGTGATTTAAAGAGTCTATTTATCTTTTATATTTTTTATCATATATGGCAAAACACAAAAAAAATGGTGAAAATCATAATTAAAGGGCAATAACTCCAACAAGGAGTCGTCAGACTATTTCCTTTATATTGTCTTAATTGCAGATCTTGCCTTGCTTATCATTTTTGCTTATTTAAGTTTCTATCTATCTATTATAAGTTTAAAGATAGTATGCAAAAAATAAAAAAAAATGGTAAAATTTGTCATTTAAGGGCAATAACTCCTACTTGAAGTCGTCAGATAGTTTTGACGTACATGAACAATTGGTAAAGCTCAACATTCTTGAACATTTTTGCTCTTGTCAGTTTTCTCTATTTATAATGGTTTTCAAAATAATAGACAAAACTTGCATTTTACCCCTATGTTCTATTTTTAGCCATGTTGGCCATCTTGGTTGGCAGGCGGAGGTCATTGGACAAATTTTTAAACTAGATACCCCAATGATGATTGTGGCTAAGTTTGGTTAAATTTGGCCATGTAGTTTCAGAGGTTAAAAGTTAACAGACAATGGAAAATCACCATTAAAGGGCTGCTGAATAACACCAATAAGGAGTCGTCGGGTGTAGATATTGTCTTGCTGATCATTTTTGCTTATTTAAGTTTCTATCTATCTCTAATAAGGAAATGAATAATGATTTCGACAATGATTTATTTGTAGAACTTGTATTGTTGATCATTTTTGCAATAATAAGTTTCTATTTATCTATTGTATTTTTCAAAATATTAGGCAAAAATGAAACAAGAGTGCACACGCTGAAATGTCTCGCCTTCTCTACTGACCATTGATTTTATGTTGATAGTCCTAAATATAAAGCTTTACTAAAAGTATCACACAAACTTAACATGATCCAAGAAAATGAGGTCAAGGTCAGATAAACCAAACCGGAAGTTCATGTACACCTTACAATCATTCAATACACCAAATATAGTTGACCTATTGCTTATAGTTTTTAAGAAACAGACTTAAACAGGAAAACTAAACATTGACCAATGAACCATGAAAATAAGGTTGTGGTCAGATGAACCATGCCAGACAGACATGTACACCTTACAATCAATCTATGCATTAAATATAGTTGACCTATTGCTTATAGTATGTAAGAAACAAACTTAACCATGAAAACTTAACATTGACCAATGAATCATGAAAATGAGGCCATGGTCAGATTATATCTGCCAGACAGACATATACACCTTACAATCATTCCATACAACAAATATAGTTGACCAATTGGTTATAGTTTAAGAAAAACAGACCAAAACACAACAAGAGTGCACACGCTGAAATGTCTCGCCTTCTTTACTAACCATTGATATTATGTTGATAGTCCCAAATGAAAGCTTTACAACAACTATTACATAAACT